AACCGTCAACGGTCGATTTCGATGATTTCGCTCGCCGCGAAGCGCGCCTTTTTGCCCGGGGGTTGGGCCGCGCAGCGGCCAGGGGGCGGACCCCTTGGTGTGTGATAAAAATAAAGAAAACTTGTAAAAACGCACTGCGGCATACCCTAAAAGCTACGGCATGAAGCGGGATTCGAACCCGCGATCGATGGAACAGTAGGCGAACACTCTACCACTCGGCCACGGAACCGATGATAAGGATTGCCGGTCTGCAGCGCTGATAGGAAACGCGCTTCGTGCAGCTTGCCGGCGCTCAGTTGACTCGCCGGAACTCCGCGCGGAAACGTGCAAAAATCGTAACTTTAAAAATCGATATCTCGAGAACGGTTGGGAGTTGGCGGCTAAAAAAAAATACGTCAACCTTAGATTTGTCTCTTCTTCATGTACAAGCAAAATGAACCCAATCCTAGGATGTCACTTCGTAGACTCCCCTTGTTAGTTCATACTTTCAGCACAGTCCTCATCTCCCGGAGGGGAGGGGGGAGGGGGAGGAGGGGGCTTGTGCATTTTGTAGATCTCCTTACGTTTCATAGGAAAGGCCAAAAAGATCGATAAATCATAGACATTTTTTCCGATGTCGTTTAAGCCGGAAATTTCCTCATTTTCCCAAAAAATTCTTCGCAGATCGCACAATCGATCGAGCAAATTTTGCACCCCTAGATTAAGCTACAGATAAATTTTTCAGAGAGGAGAATGGGAAACGACTTAGAATGTTTTTTGGACCGAGTTTATCAGAAAGGAAGCAACCCACACAAAGTTAAAACTGAGAAAGAGAGGTTTGCAGTTGTTTTCCTCCATAAAACTCGATGTAGAGAGTAAACTTTAAACGCTCTTTTCACGAACTAATATTTATTTTTCAAATTGGAATTTTTGGCAGAAGAAAATATAGAGGAACTCAAATACATTCTTAACTATTTTTTTTCGAAAATGTGGGTTGGTTCCTTTCTGATGAGGTAGGTCCATTTGTACCTGATACACGTAGAGTGTACCACCAGTTGAAATGAAAAATGCAAACTATGCCTTCTGAATTCAATAATAATTAATCAATTAATTCGTATTTCAGGTATACGTCAACTTTATCAATGCCCATAATACGAGGAGATCAAGGAAGTCAGCCTAGGACCACTTTCAAACCCCCATGGGTCCGAGATGGACCAAGTCCTTTGCCAATGCCAGCTGCACCCTGGACAGCAAGAGCTAGAGAAAATGCGGCGGGCTCAGGATCAACAGAGGATGCACCCAAGGTAAAAATATACTTACAAAACAAAAATTTTCATGATATCAGAATCTCATTCTTAGTTACATTTGAATTAATGCAACACAAACTTAACTTGTTCTGCGTAAAGTCATAAAAAGTCAATTTTCTTTTTCAGTTACTAGGTATCACTTTTTATCGAATATCAGGAAAATAAAATAAAGAGTGCAAAAATATTATCATTTTTCTGCATACTCGGAAGTGATATGAAAGATAAAATTCATATAACCCTTAATTTAGGGCTTACTTCACGAGCAATGCAGTGTTGAAATGGACTGCATTTTGCAATTTGGAACTATAAATTCTGGCCTAGTTTAAAAACAACGTATGTTCCATTAGTTTCCCTATGCACATAAGTGTTTTTTCAGACGAGCCAGAATTTATAGGTCCAAATTGCAAAATGCAGTCCAAATATACCAAGGTTTTAAACATATGTTTTTTTTGTTACAGTTTGAGAGACCAACCCTGAGGAAGCAAAGCAAAATCAATATAGTGCCTTCACAGCCTGCTGAAAATGGTCAGGTATGTGTGACAAGATTTCCAAGAGCCTTCATTGTAAGATTAAAAAATTAATGAATAATGCTAATTATACAAAAAATAATGGGAACAAATTTCGGATTTGTTTAAGAGAAATTGTCCCTCTTTTTTACTAGAACAGCAAGTTTCATACACTTTGAAAGCTTGAGTTAAGACTGTTTCAAAATTTCAACCACAAAAATTGATTCTTCAAAAAAAGACTTCAAGTAACTGGGACTAATATCAGAAAATTTTCTGAGTGTCTACTAAAATTTCATTTTGGATTTTCCTGACATTTTCCTGACTTTTCAGGATATTTAATCAGAAATTTTCTGACTTTTTGAGAGAATAAATTGACACTCATATGATTTGTCAAATCAAAATATTCCCTGAATTGACTCCAATACTTGAAAAATGCTTAAGGCAATCAAAATTTTCTGATCCAAGACCGGTTTCCCTGATAATTTCCTGATATTCTCCGGTTTTAACTTACGGTAGACACCCTGATTTCAACTATGAAAAGCACCTCTTTTAAAAGATTAGATTGTTGACAAATATTTTGGAAAACTTCAGAATAATACATATAATAACTTGTTTCTTAACAGTCACATCAAGGGTACGGGTAGTTAGTAAATCTGGCATGGAGCTGTCTTTTTCAGCCTTTTCATTGGTGACAAATACATACAGATTATGTAAAACAAAGACTAAATTAAAATTCTCCAAACCATTTCAGGTGATAAATGCAACCAATCAAAAACCACCGACAAATCCTACAAACCGAAAAGTATCAACAGAGAAAATTGTACCTATTTTTCGGGACTCATCATCACAAAACTCAAATCAGAAGAAAGCAGCTGAGGCTCCAGCGCAACGACAGCCCCCGGTGAAAGATTCTGCCAAACCACCTCCAGCGAAAGATGCTGCAAAACCACCGCAACCTGGTGCACCTCCAATGCCTCCTCCACCTCCACCTACTACAGGAATGCCACCACCACCTCCCATGCCAGGAGGTTTGCCGCCAAGTGAGATATTTTTTTTTCTTTTCTTTTCTTTTCCTTTTTTTTTACGAGCCTCAAATAGCCCCCATTGGTAAACCCACGCTTACCACCAGCCCCAGGTGACCATTGTCTGAGACCATCAAACCCAGGTCACCTGACCGGCAATCAAACTCGGGACCTCTTGGAGATAGGGCCAGCACTACAGCCTTTACACCACAAGACGATAATTTTACAACCTAACTCGAGGTGTACCCTAATCATTTTCAAATAATAAAATATTTTAAATGTTGAATCAAAGTATCAATGAAAATACTGGGAGCCGCAAGTGACAAAAACCACAATACATTAGATAAGAGGGCAATATTGGGAGCTGCCAGTAGTAAAAACTGCGGTAAATTAGATAAGAGGACTGCTAGAAGTTAGTGCTCATGCTTACGGCAGTCCGAGTAGGTCTGACAAAGGAATATAAACATAAAATTAAAAGTGTTCCACTTGCACAAAAACCAAGTTTTAAGATTAAAAATTAGGGCCTGGTAGTCTTGCCTCATGCACTGACTCCTAATACACAGAGAACATCTGACACTCTACATCGGAAGTTCCGAGTAAAGTAGTACATCACTGTAAGATAAAAATTGAAAGCAGCCGAGAACGATTCACCTGAGGTTTGAACCATCCTAAAAATTATTTTTGAGACACAATTTAGAGTATGAATGACTAACTTGAACAAAATAATAATAAACAAGAAAGTAATAGATAGCACGTCTTTATGGGGTGTTTAATTGTTCAATGCTTACAGGGATCACTCATAAAAAGCAAAAATTAATTATTTCAATATTTATTGATAAATCACTTTTATCATGAGCAGAAAGAATATCATGGCTTGAAAAATGATGTGATAGAGCTAAAATGAAAAGCACAGAAAGATTCAGATGATGAGATCGGAAGTTTTGATCTTATGCCAATTTGAAAGTGTGCCAGTGTTATAAACTTTGTATCTGTGCATTAAAAATACTTTTAGATTGATAATTGTGTGTTTAAACTGTCAAATATTCTTGTGAAGGTTGAAATTTGATAAATTCAAGTTAATGGCAGAATTCAGGAACTAATAGTTGAATGATCTGACGATTCAAACCATGCCAACATTTGTGGTTCATACTTTAATGCCTCAAATTGAATGAAGGATTGTTAAAAGTCATGTACGGCGGTATGTACATCATGAATCTGTGTCAACTTGACCATGCATGTTTTCATTGATACTTTCCTCTTTTTTCAGTCTATCTTAATTGAAAAAAGGGCATTTGCTAAAGGGATGAGAGCAGACATAAAACACTGAGAAAAAGGCGAGAAAAAGCTAAAGTAGTATCAACATGAATTTTAGACATTTTTTCTGAGTTTACTACTAATTAAAATTGAGAATGCACGTTGGCGCTCTAAAAATGAAAATCGTACTTCGGGACAGTGCGAGTTTCTTGCTAAATCTTGGTTTTTGGTGGAAAAACACCAACTATAGCTTCATACAACTTTTTTTTTTATTTTCTTATGCTCTTAGAAAAAATTTAATGATTTTCTTTGTCAAAAAAGTGAGAGTGACCAATTTGTTATGACCAGACCATATGATTGTAACATAATACAGCATAAAAAGCTAAAACACAACAATATTTTCTTTTCGCAATAAAACATTAAGTACATTAATAAAATATTTTTTGCAGAACACTTTCACTAAAAAAATGTCACCTGCATACACATGATTTGCAGGAATTCCATTTGAGTAAAATTTAATTTCATGGGTTGCAAAAGAACCTGAGCAGAATGAATGTACTTAAATTTTATTTTTCTAAATTGTTTTCAGTTGAGAGGAAACCACCAACTCCAGAGAAACTTGCTAAATTAGAAGCACTGAGAAGCAGGCCAAGGAGGCGACCAGATTGGACAGACATGATGAAAGAAGTGGAAAGTGGAAAAAAATTAAAGCACGTAGAGTGCAACGATAGGAGTGCTCCTGTTTTGCCCAATGCGGTAGACAAAGCAAAAGGACAGGTAAATCCTACAGAGAGCAACCTTTGCATGAGAGTGTTTTCATAATTATTTTTAAAAAACTAAACTTGATAAAGATATTTGATAAAAACATTCGAATCAATTTGAGGAGCAGATTGACTTCAGCAAGGACAATTCAATGACTATTTTGAAACCTCCAATATACTAGCAGCACGCTTCAAAAGCGGGCGACCCATGTGTACCTTTAGTGATATCCAATTATGAAATTATATACATTTAAGACAATTTCGAACTTTTAAACTAAAATAAAATTTATTTATAATACTAGTAAACATTAAGTTATCTGGATAAGTGTCACTTTTTAGTTGAGTTTAAATTTATTTTATCTAACTTGATCGAAAGCAAATTTGGTCATTTTTACTATATACCTATATGCTTTTACAATACTAAAAATAGCAATGATAAAATATTTTATTCCTTTTCTTTCTGTGATTTTAGTTAGAAAATAACTCATTTGTATTATTAACGATAATATACCTCCATGTGGGACTTGAAAATTTGTTCTCGTTATTACAGTTTGTGTACGATTCTGAGACAAAATCTAAAGATGATTCACACAATGCTCTACTGAAAGAAATTCAAGGCGGCATCAAGCTGAAAAAAGTCAAAACTAATGACAGAAGTAAACCCAATATAGATGGTGAGGCTTTTATCGTATTCTCAGACTTCTTTTTATCCTTCAACGCGGAGAGACATAAAAGGAATTGATCTTACTGAAAATAAATCTTTTATTATTTTAAAAGCGATAAAATTGTGAAGATGGCTTGTACCCATTTTGCAATGGGTGGATAAAACAGATTCCAAAAGATGTTTCATCATCCGATCTGCCACCCGATGAGCAATAATAAAATATCTTGAGCTGTGGGGAATTGACCTACCAAAACAGGTCCCATAAAAATTTGCACAATTATAAAACTGGTTCAGATAATGAACGATAGAGTTTTTCTTTTTTTTTATTGGAAGTGATAATTAAGAATTTTCAGACAGAGATGTTAGCTTGTTCGAAGAGGTAAACACCAAGATTAAACACTCGTCTAACTAATATGATTGAACATTTTACTAGAATTTTCTGAGGTTCTACTATTCACCTGGCACTCATTGAAATCATAGAGTACATAGGTGGGTGGTACACTCGCCAATGACATCAATTAAGGACAATTAAGTGCCTCCAGACAAATCAATCAGTTCAGAAATAAGTTTTCACAACCCTTCCTATTAGATATGTGACCATATTATAAATAGCCATAACTGCTCCTGTAATGTTTCAATTTTTGAATTCAGGTTTGCGAAAGTTCAGAAGACAGATGACAATTGAAGAAAAAATACAGAAGTCAATGTCAATGGCAGATGTTGTAGCCGCAGCAGCTGAACCAGATGAGCTAGACGATATTGACAAAGTTCGAGATGATCTTCAATCAAGTAAACAAATGCTTGCTCAAGAGCTACGAAATAAGGAGGCTTTGGAAAGAGAAAATAAACGACTAATGGCTAGGTTACTCAATTTAGAAGCTGAATTAGAAAAGGAAAAAAGCATGCGGCAAATAGAGGCTGAGAAAGGTGCTACAGTGGTGACATCCAGAACAGAAGAGGATGAGAAGGTAAGATTTGAAAAGGAGTGAATATTCTGACTCTCCTTTCAATCTGAATAATTAAAGGTAGATAGAATAGTTATGATCTCATTCATCAAAAGGTTAGAGATTTTGAGGAAAATTCTTAGCTGCTGAGAAATTTTCATCCAAAGTACAACTAAAATCTTCAAGCAAAACTCATATTTTGCAATTAAATATTTCCAATTTTGAGGTTTTACACTAATCAAGGACCTGGTAACAGAGAGAAAAAGATAGAGGGGAACTTTACAGCAGTGAAAAAGATATAGTCCTGACAAATGCAGCAAATAAATTTAAAGGGTGAACCTTAATTCTTGGAAGAAATGAAAACAACACAATAGCCCGAATTCAGAACAATAAATATGATAAATAAAAAACAAATAGGTACACAAGGCTAAAAAAAACAGAATAAAAACATGTCCTGGTTGTGTTCATTCTAGTTTTCAGCTTTGTATACTCATTTGAGTTGTATTTATTGTATTTATCATTTTCGGAAGAATATACCAAATTTCTAATCTCCTCTCCCTCAAAAAAAAAAAAAAAAAAAAAAAAAAAAAATTTCTGATAGATATTTTGAAATTTTGGTCATAGCTATGTATTCAGTTCACAGTTCTCAGGATAAGTTTTTTTTTCAGCTGATAGTAAAACTCAAAGAGGAGGCTCAAGAGGCAGACAAGGTCGCCAAAGAGATGGAGGAGAAATACCATGCAACCGCAGAGGAATTGGATAACACACGACGGAAACTAGAAAGCGCTTGGCTGCGGAACCAAGAGCTGGAAATTCAGCTAAAAGCAGCCGAGGCACAAGGGGTCAAACTCCCAGCATCTCTTATTAAAGCGCCTTCATCCAAAAAATTAGCCCAATCCATAGCAAACATGGCAAATGGCAAATCGTTAGATCTCAGTGATACTGATTCTGAGGAGTACGAGGAAGAAACGGAGACAGAATCAGAAGGTACGTAGCACTTGAGTTCTCTGACATGCGTCTGCTCTGCATCTTTGATCGCAGCATGTTCAATAGAAAAAGTACGGCTGACATTAATTGCTGACGGTATGATGGAACTAAAACCAACTATCTGCCATAAAAGATGAACGTATTTGTTACTAGCATGCTCAAAATAGAACACAACCCATAAAAATTAATCCAATAATCGAAAAACTGCAAAATTGTTTCAATTGACACTGCAAATCTTACAAGTATTGGTACACTAATTTTGTTGCTGATATGAAACACAAGGCTCACCTTATATTAAAGAGAAAACGATCAGAGATAAAAAAAAAAAAAAAAAAAAAATCAAGAGACATAATAGAGGAAAAACAGAGATCTTTCAAGTTCAAAACTCTCATAAATGTTAGTACTTGCATAAATATAACTAACTTTAAATAAAAATTACTTTATATCATTAACTGCAAAATAAGTTACTTTTGATGAGAAATTATGGAAATGTTGTTTCATGGAAAAAAACTGAATGAAACCAGGGCTCCCTGAAAGAACTGACTACATATTCTTGACACTATCATTCTGAGAAACTTCTTATTGCATGTAAAAATTAAATTTAGAGCATTGATTAATAATAATATAAAACTGATGTACACTTTTACTTTACAATAACTTTTACATAATTTTGAGAGTCAAAGAATGTGAGTTGTAATATTTATACTGAAGATATAGATAAAATGCAAGAATAGACTAAATACCTACTAAAGCTTACTGCTTTGATCTACTAATATTGCCTCCACTAATCACTATTCATTGTTTTATAGACAGCGAAAACGAGGCCAATGCTGCAGAGAAAGAGGAACGACGGACTGCTAGAGAATTAAGATTATTAGAAAGTAAAGTGAAATCTTACAAGGAGAAACAACAGGCTGCCCAAAAAGAGCGCAAAGTTTTACAGGAGCAGATGAAAAAGCAACAGAAAACTTTGAGAGACGAAAAGAGAAAGTTTAAGGTTCTTCAGAAGGAAGTGGATAAAATGGCTAAACTAATGCGAGATGCTGAAGAAGAAGAAGAGGAGGAAGAAGAAGAAGAAGAGGAAGTAGAGGAGGAGGCAGAGGAAGAAGAGGTAAGTATTTGTTTTAAAATAAGAGCATTCGTAAAGTTACTACTATATTTTTAAGCTACCTACTAATTTTTTTTTTTCTTTCTTTTTTATACATTAACAAGGAAGTAAGGCTGGCGTCTAATACTGACAGCTTGATACTAAACATTGTTGTACAAACCACGCCTGATATATATGAGGGGCTTGGAGAACAAAGCACATAAGTACAGTTTTTGAAAAAATTGAGATATGAATGATTTCGAGTAAAACTAGTCTGAATGCATATTCTGTGAAAAATACGCTCTTAAATTCTAATTTTTAAGCATCAAAAAATTGGTTTGAGCTTCCTCTCTGCCATGAGGATTTTGAATTTTGAAACTTCAATCTCCAAATAGCAAAAATTGCACTTATGCGCCTTGTCTTCCAAACCCCTCATATATTTATCATTACAACATCATTCAGAATGGACCACTAACAAGGAACAAAATTAAGCATTCTGATTCATGTTTCCTCTTCAAAATTTTACATACCTACCTAGAAAACGATTGATGTAACCAAAATTAACTCCTAACCAACTGGCAGGCTATTAATTTCAAACCAATTTGATAAATTTGTCTGTTCACAAGTTATGATCATGTAACTCCTAAGAAAGTCTCTGAAATATGTTATCTGGTTCCAGTCCAATACAGAACACTTTGAACCATCTTGCACTTGCAGGTATAAAATGATGTGGAGATGCAGCTGGTTCAGGTATAACAACTCCCATCCCTGGATGATTTTGAAATATGTTCAGCTTTGCAGAAAAAAGCTTTTATCACCAATGTTTTGACTTTATAAGAGGATTTTGAAAGTCAGAGAGGTCTCACAAGAGCCTCTCAAACCACCATAAAAAAAATGTCATTCAGATTGCCAAAATATCACTAAGTTCCAGATATCTCTTGAAAATTTTGACTGTTTTCTCTCTAAAATCCTTTTCAACCATAAGAGCCTCGATCAAAAGAAGAAAGCCATTATAGTGTGACCGTCATCAAAAGGGGGACTTAGTCAAAAAAGTTCCACCTACATACAAAAAAAAAGGTTTATCCTTCTATTAAAGGAGATGATGAGGATTTTCGTGATCTCTATAAACCAGAAGTCAAATTATAAGTTGTTTCATTGCTGAAGGCTTTCAAAATGTGTACTTCATTGTTGACGAAAGTCAGATCTCAGAACACCTGCACAATATGCCACAGCACAAGTGGCCCCTATTTAATCCATGCTTCTCCATCTGCCCACCAAACTCACCAATGACACTTGAAATACCAGGTTAGGCTGGTAAAGGTATCAATTACCTCAAGTTAAGAGAAATTGGACTATACATTTTTAATCCGCTCTATTTTGAGACTGAGACTGCCTCTCGCTTTTGCTTCGAAGGACTTTCTGCATCCCTAGAAAATTTCTATACATTTCCGTTATCTTACAGTCTCAGTTACCTACACTGTTTTTGTTTCCTCCTTGTCATGTATAATTTTTTTACAGAAAAATCACCTAGCAAACTCACAGACTTCATCGCATCACCTTCCGGCCAAAGTATTGCTTTGGCACCATGATGCCGAACGTCTCAAAATAGTCTAATTTTTTATGGAAAAACTAATGCATAGAATCACTTAAAAATGTTTCATGATATGTCTTTCATCATCAAGATTATTCCCTGAAATTTTTACGAAAGTATTCGCAAAAAATTAAAAGAGAAAATTAAAATGATATTGAGATGTCTGGCAACATATTTAGTGTTGAAGAGTACCTAAATGGCACTTGTGAGACTTTGGTCGGAAGGTTACAATTGATTCTTTCACTTATTCTATGGAAGTGCAGTAAAACCTGTTTATAACAGACTCTGCTCAGTTTGGAACACCTATCTTCACAGAAATTTTTTCTCGTCCCTTGATACATAAATGCATGTAAATAACCAGTTCATAGCGGAAATCTGATGTTACCAAAAAAATTTCTCTGTCTTGTGAGATTCTGTTACGAACATGTTTCAGTGTATAGTCTTTCCCTAAAATCATTCCAGTTGCTGTCTCATAAATTTTGTCTTTTTTTTAATTCAAGTATACCTAGAAGCAGAGAAGTTTGGAACAAAACTCATGAAAATTCCAATTTGTTCAAGTTTCAATGAGAGTCAACTATAATACCGAAGCACTAAGTTCCGGAGATTGCCCTGTTTAGAAATCAAAAATAATCAAAAATTAATTTATGCCTTATTACCTTGATTACAGGAAACTGAAACCGAGAGTGAAAGCGAGGAAAGCTCATCGGAGGAGGAGAGCGATGATGAAGTCCCAGAGGATGCCGATACTGAAACCAAGAAAAAACTATTATCAGATATATCAAAACGATATGAAAATAGACTAACGACGTTGAAAAAGGGGAACTATTTAATGAAAGCAAACATTGATAGGCTCCAAGATGATATAAGTAGGCAGAGAGAAATGCAAGTCGAGTTGCAAGAAGACTTAAATTCGGTTTTAACTGATTTGGGATAAATCCATCTTTATCTTTCCATCAACAACACAGCAATAGTGAGACTAGAAAATCATCAACTATCTAACAAATTTTGCAGGGTGATAATTTTTCTTGGCTTTCCAAAATCCCTAACTTTTAAGTAATTTTCTAAGCACTATTTCTCATAGAAATTCTGTTGACGAAAACTCTATTACCTAATGGCTGATAAAGTTTATATTTATCTTTCTAAGTTGTTGACTTATCTGAACCAAAAATTTGTATAAGCTGACAAATCTGTAAATTTTTACAATGAAAATATTGTTGAGACTAACTTATTATTTAGATCTGAGGAGTCAAGGATGAAAATGTAAACTTTTCCTTGTGGATAACTTGTAAAAACGGACTTTGGGATGTGAAAGACTAGGGGGAGAATAAAAAAGGTTTTCTTTCAAGAAGCACCCCAAAATAAACTGAACACTTGCAAAAGGCAAGTATCTTGCAGATAATGACTCCGCAGTTTTCTACACATTGGTCATGTTATATCTAGATTAAGTTTCAAACTTGTTAATTCATTGCTTTAATGTTTCAGTAATTTAATTTTGTTATCAATCTAATTTAACTTATTTAAGTTCTACTTTTGAGGGGAAATTGATGCGTTTTAAATTATTCCCAACTATTTATAAATAATTAATTTTTAATTGATTTTTACTTCCTTGAAATAAAATTGAATCATTTTAACACTGTTTATTTGTGAAAATAATCAATTGGTGACGATTTAGGAATAATGATGCCAACTTTCCGAAAGTGGATTCCTGAAATGATCGTACTCTTTGAAGATCTGAAAATGGTCAGAAATATTACCTTAAATCCCAATCTTTCAGTCGATTGATTATCCTGGTTTTTTTTTTTACTCATAAAATGTACATTACCTGCCAAACCCATACACAGTTGATTTTTAGAGAACAGAAATGGAGATGTTACGCGTGTGAGGAATTTGCAATTTGACTGTTGATTCTTATGTAAAAGTTTGCGAGAAACGTGATGGTACCACTGGTTTTTTCTGAAATCAACTCCCAAGCTCAAAAAAAAGCTCTCAAGTTGAAGTCAAAATGGAGGGGATATCCCACGCTATCCTGAGAGTCCACCGCTACATCAAGACAAACTCTCCATGCAAAGATAGGGAGCAAATACATTGACAGGGCTGCCACTTCATTTGAAGACTCTAAAACTGAAAACACGGCATCACTGCTAATGTATTTGCTCCCCATCTTCCTGCATTCATCATCTATTTCAATGATACCATGTAACTTTATAATTATGTTGACATAGCCTTAAATGTTTAAATATTCCCACAGTTAGCTCTTTCCTAACAAGCGGTGCAGCGTGGCATTTTGATGCCTACTTTGGATATGAGTGTTGACAATCCTCTTTCTGGCTCACCATAGAGTACATAGAGTCGTAATGTAAGTGTTAGAGCTGGCGCCACTTTTGAGCATTTTCCATGCCCCGAATTCCGAAACTCCTGTGTGACACCAGGTCACTTTTTCGATACATAATCGATTGTTTGCGATACACGGGTACCCGGCCATCCGATGACAACAACAACAACAAAGGAGATAGGAATTACCACGTATTCCACACCGCCATTTTGGATCGAAAATGTATCGAAAAAGCGACCCGAACTCGGCGCACACCGGGCTCGGAATTCGTCGAGCAGAACATGGCGCCAGCTCTCCCATTTACATTACGACTCTATGTACTCTAAGCGGCTCACCCACAATCCTCCTTCATTCTCATCAGAGTCAACTGTGGCAGGAAAATTTTTGATGTTACAATCCTGGCCAAGTAAGATAACACACTATTACACAGGATCCGCCATCTTGATTCTGGAACTTTCTCTCAATTCAAAACTGAAGATAGCTGATCTTAGGTTGCACTCTATAAGTGTGTATACTTATTTGGCACGGACTCCACTAATTTTCACATTTTCATTAGGTAGGTATATGTATAAAGCCCAATTCACACTATCAAACTTTTCATTCAATTCTTGAATGCAACTTGTTGAGTGAAAAGTTGGATAGTGTGATACTAGAAACAACAACACTACAAGAAAACAACACTTCGATAAAAAATGGAACAGGGAATTGAATGTGACGTCATAACTAACTTTTCGTTCAAATTTCCATCGCCATTTGGATGGAAAGTTGAACGGAGAGTAGTTGAATAAAAATTTTTGGCATTCAACTTTCCATCCAACTTTTCGTTCAATTATGTCAGATGAAAAGTTTAATACCTAGTGTGAATTGGGCTGAAATATGGGAAGCAACTATCATTATTGTGACAAGAGCCCTGTCATGCGTGCATGTGTTCTTACAGGTTTCAGAGTCCAGATCAGGTTTAAGTTAGTTCCTTTGGATTTCCTTTAACACATTCGCCTCATATGCGCTTCGGACAAATCTCAGCTGACAGCTTAAATCGCGCCATCTGTCAGCGTTGCTGCGCTTGAGATGCCATCTATCGGAAAAATGAAAAACACACGACCAAAACAATCGCATAGTAACGCTGACAGATGGTGCAAATTAACTCGTCACCTGAGCTATGTCCCAGGCGCGTGCTGACAAGTATACTCGTCAAATGAGGCAAATGAGTTGACCGTCCAAAAGTATATTCAACTGCTCCAATAAATTACATCTTCACTCTGAATTTTGTACTGTTATTTATATCTGGTAATTAATTTGGGTCTGCAGAAAGTTGATAATGAAAGCTAACCAATTTTCCTTTGATTAACAAGAGTTGAAGGACGGCCGAAAGAATATTCATGACTAGAACAAATCGACAGGGTAAGTCGGCAATCACATAACTTGGTTTGCAACGTCGCAGACTTCCTATCATACTTTACTTTTTAATGGGAAAACTACTTAAGGCAATTCTTTAAAACTGTCGTAGTTTCTCTTCTCTGTGCGAGGAAAATTCTGCAAAAACTCCAAGAAATGATGTCAATTTGTTCTCCTTAAAGAATAACATGGAGGCGGAGATTTACAGACACTGCAAATGAGTTATGTGATTGCCGACTTACGCCGCTGAAAAGTCAAAATATTGCGACAACAAGAAAAAAAATTAAATAAAATAAAAATGCCTAGCAAAATGATGCCTAATAGTCATGATACGCAAGGTGACCTATGGCACTGTTCCAAACCAAGAAGTTAACTATCCTCAAGCGCCGGAACCAGTCTCCTGCATTTAATCTGGTTCTCAGCAACTTGAACTAATTTTCTACAAACATGAGTCCACAATTGAATTTGATCTTAGATTCAATGAATCATTCACTTGAAAAACAAACTATTGAATTGTGTGAGTAGATTCGGATGATAGGAAAGTGAGGTTCTGCTTGCGGAGCTTGTACCTATTTGAAAAGGTTGCTGTCACTGATCAAAGAATGAGAGACTCTTGTCTGTACCATCCAAACTTAAACAAGCAATGGTTATAACTTATACTTACTGATGAGACCGCTCAATGCTTACTAAAACCTAGGAAAAGATTTGGTAAATTATAAAATTTGTTGCTGAAAACGTGAAGTTCTAGCGAGGAATTTGCCGTGAAAAACGAATAAAAATTTGAGAGGACCGGATGCAATCACGATATCAACGACACGCGAAGTAAAAGTTTGTGTAAGATAATTAAATTATGAGATATTCTACATTTTTCCAAATTACTCAAATTAAAACAGTACATACACGCACCTGCTGAAGCTACTTTTCTAAGAATTCTACTTCCTTTCTTCACGTTTCGTCTTTCGTAAACAAAACAACCGACACACGGCAACTCAAATGAACCAATGAAATTATTGCTTGAGTGCACATGCAGACAACAGTGTAAATATTTTGGTTTGTTTACGTTTATCGCTTGCTTATCAGTTTATCAGCTTATCGGTGATCAACTGGAGATCTGGGATATCCTTTCAGTTTCTTTTTAATTTGATTGAAAATGGCGCTGCAGGCTTTGCCATTCTACACTATTCTCATATTTAGGTAGATATTTCTCCACGGTTCTTCCCATTTGTGCCTCTGTCTGAGAATAACGTCTTTCTGCAGAATCAAATTTTTACAGGACAAGGGTGTCAAAAAAACTTCTCAGGAGGATTAGGCCAGTAAGTATCTTTTTTTGTGCACCCGAAATTTTATGAGAGGAATAAATTATCCTCACATTGGAGATGTTGCATGTGTGAGGAATTTGCAATTTGACTGTTGATTCTTATGTAAAAGTTTGCGATAAACACGATGGTGCCACTGGTTTTCTCTGAAATCAACTCCCAAGCTCAAAAAAAGCTCTCAAGTTGAGACCAAAATGGAGGGGATATCCCACGCTATCCTGAGAGTCCACATCTAGGTACATCAAAACGAACTCTCCATGCAAAGATAGGGAGCAAATACATTGACAGGGCTGCCACTTTATTTGGAGACTCTAAAACTGAAAACACGGCATGACTGCTAATATATTTGCTCCTAATCTTGCATGGAGAGTTTGTCTTGATGTAGAGGTGGACTCTCAGGATAGTGTGGGATATCCCCTCCATTTTGGCGCCAACTCGAGAGCTATTTTTTAGTTTGGGAGTTGATATCAGAGAAAACCAGTGGCACCATCGTGTTTCTCGCAAACTTTTACTTCAGAATCAACAGTCAAATTGCAAATTCCTCACACATGCAACATCTCCATTAACCTGGTAGGTATTTGTTGTTCTGTACTCCATGTCACTAAATACTTTTATTATTTTTTTGAGTTAGATTCTACAATAATGTGCCTGCAGAGGATGGTACTTACCCATCATGAACTTTAAAAAAATAGTTCTACTAAGTAACTGAGCGTTTCCTGAAGCAACAATTAGTCTACAATCATTTGCAATGGTCAAAATTTGCTTCATTACTTTATCTGCCGTGTTGAAGAAGAATATCGTAGGACCCCTCAGGCGTTGCCAAGTTCCCTTTTATAAAATAAAAATTTTTCAGGAAAGTTATGAATATTTTTCTTCCAATTTTTCAAACAATATTGTTCACAGTTAAAATCTAAAATATTTTAAAATATCAAGGGCAAATATGTATAACCTCCTTCGAAAATAGACATTTTATCGGTGGAAATTCGGCAACTCTCGAATGTTCATACTAGGTTTTTCCCTAGCTCGGCAGATTTGGACACCAGCAGAGGAGCCCCTAAGGACTTGAATCAGACTAGGTATTGAAATTTCCATTGTGGTTTGTAGAATTGGTCGTTTTGTTGAAGAAACATTAACTAAGGTAAATCTGTTTCATGGAAGTTGGATGAACGTTCCACCTTCTGAACGATGCCTTACTCCCAATCCCAAGTCTACCAGAGACTTCCAAGGCCCTCTTTTCATGCCCAGCTTAATAGATTTTTTGCTCTGAGATTTTTTGCTACTTCAGACCTTACTGAATACTGAGTGAAGATGGAAAGTAAGGTTCAGATCTTAGGATGCATTGCTCAATTATTAGTTAGGTAGTAAAGTAAATGAATGAAAGTAAAGTAAATATAAAGAATTGAACTCGGCAACTCTTATCCATCTACTCAGTCATTCCCTAGTGTTCAAAGAACAATATGACAGATATGTTGATTGTATTAAGACAATCAACATCTGTTAAAGTTTGAATTTTCAAGAAAACTCACCTGCATGTTGTTTATTACCTAAATACTAGTTGGACGCTTTTTGGTCTCATCGCGACTGAGTCTGAGAGGAGTCGCTGATGATGGTCTCGCGATGAGACCGAAATGTGTCCGACTGGTATTGAGGAAATAAACAACATGCAAGTGAGTTTCCTTCAAAATTTAAATTATTAAGTTCTTGTGCAAACCCGAGCATCAACGTTATCTTTTATAGCCCTAGGTTTATATTTCAAATGATGCGTTTTATCATGTGCCGTAAAGGTCTCATGGAGACTGAGCATGTACTTGTAATAATCTGCAATAAACAAAAACTGCTGATAACAAAGTTAAAACACAAGGCTTTGTTTTTTTTGTTATGATTGAGATGTCTTTGTCACAGGCTGCTGCATAGAAGTGTACCTATTTCATGAAATACCTCTACTTCCATTTTGTAATTCGACAGGAACTTATTTTTATTTTGACTTTTGTACTTTGAATGCCACTTTTTGTTGTAGATTGTTTCATCCGCTGTAAATGCAATGAAGAAACAAAGCGGATTGTTGAAGCGAACTATTGTTTCAAAGGAGCCATTTTTGAAAAATGATGGTCATTCTGGCAACTACTTGATGAAGCCGAAGGGAGTGGCTGGTCATGGCTGCGAGAGTCGCTATATCAAGAGTAAAGGAGACTGTTCCAGATTTTCTTGTGAAACCAGGAGCCATGATAGCTTTGGAGATCATGCCAAAAGATCAACGCAGGACACGCTCACAGATACTCCTAATTTTTTAGGCGATCAGCGTATTCAACATCCTGTTGCACAAGATCCGTTGTTTCATAAATCAAATTTTTCACCAAAACCGCCTTGCTGTTTCTGTCAAAATTTAAAGTCTCTACAAATCAAGACAGCTAATACTCCTTTGATTTCTTCCCAGAATTTTAGGAGTACCCATTTCATTGACAGTGAAATGGTAAGTAAATTATTTTTAAGTTGTGCGTTAAGTATTTCAATCTTCTGATAAGTTCAAATTTGACAAAGAAAAATTAATAATTAGTTTATACTCTTTTTTTTACAAACCGTGTGGTAATCAACCTTCTGAGCCATATGAGCATGAGATTCGTATTTTAAAGGAGATAATGGATAATAATGTAGAACATAAAACAATTTAGAAGCATCATTTCTCCCTGTACCTACATTGCTATTAAGATGTTATCTTTTTTTCTGAGAGTTTGCGAACCTGAGACATTGAAGAGTGAGTGAATACTGTTGCCAAAGTTGGCTCAGCTTTTTATTTTTATCAGCGCCTCTTGTCACATGATTGTCGAACTTTAAAAATTTTATATTCAAAATGCGAGAAGAGATAATCTATTTGTAGAGAAACATTACAGACCGTCTTGTTCTTTTTCTCATTTTTTTTTATACCACAATGGTCCCTTGGATTGATTTTGTTGTATATTTTTTCATTGAGGTACAGTAATATATGCACGGCTAACCTGATTAATTTACTCAAATCTTGATCCATAAATAGTATGGACTTACATGCTTGTTTTTCATTCGGGACTGTGTATTTAGGGGCCCAGAAACTGGTGGCCCTGGTCAAGGACTGGTCGCTTGAAACGAGAGAAACCTTGTAAAAATTTCAAAAAATGGAAATAGGTTGTCTATCATGTCAATTTCCCATGTTTTTATTATTTTTCTTCTGATGATATTTTAAGAGCCCTTACAATTTGAAGAAAAGGCTTGAAAATGTTTGCATCCCTGTGTCCATCTAAAAATGTTACTCTTGTATTGTTGCAGATGCCGTGTAACTGCCATGAACAACCGATGTTATGGTCTAGCAGGCATTATAGGTATAGAAATTCAAATACATTGACAGAAGATTGGTTTGATAATCATTCGATCCCTCAATATACTCAAAAAGCATCAAATCTATTATCAGGTAAGATAAAAGCACTGAAAATGTAACAGTTCACACTGCAAATACTCTTCTGGTATTCGATATCCTAAAGAAGATGGCATTGAAAATTGCCTCATTTAATTTGAGAACTTTAAATATCAGGTCAAATTGTGAGAAAAGCTGAAATTTTTAGCCTGGCAGCTCTCTTTCATTAGTAGGAGGGTGTCTAGTGAGCGGGAAAACCTGAATAGTCAGGGAGATTAAATTGTTCGGGTAGAGTGAGAAAGAGAAAATTATTAGCCCAAAGCGTCGCCAACCCCTTTGCAATATTGTAATTTTTGGCATAACTTCAAGACGCTTCAATGCTGAGTCCTGCAGCGCTCTTCTCCAGTCTGTAGTGAATCCTCTCAAATATCTTCCAAATCATGCCAGCACTTTAGGCTGAGCTATGTTTATTTTTGATTTTCTGTTGATTTGGAACAAAGGTCAAGGACTATTAGGAAAAGTCAAGTTGAGTGGGAAAAAGTTTTGCCGGTTACTCTGAACAGGTTTTTCATAGACAGTGAGAAAACTGAGAAAAATGAACAGTAAGGATCTTAAACAAAGAAGAACAGAGCCTATCAAATGAGATGTCTGCTTCGTTCAAAATACTAAGATTTGAAAGTAAAAAAAAAAAGTTCGAAACATTTTTTCTTAAATTAAGCTATTTATTAAACTATTTAACTATTACTATTATATTACTTATTAACTACTTATTTAAGCTATTAAACTATTTGTAATTTCTTAAATTACATTCCTTTTTTCTATTGTTAATTTCATGTTTCTCATTCGGCCGAAGACAATGATGCAAATTCAAAGTTATTAAGAAAAAATAATGATTAAACCGTCACTTCAGCACCAACAAATATTGATTCAGCTGTCGCTGTGGCACCAATGATCCATGTTTCAGCTGTTGGTACAGCAGTATTGACAAGGAATCTCCACCAACATATTTTAGTATCTCTTAATCCTCCGGGGTATGAATTAATTTTGGGTTTTGGATTCTGTGGGACACAAATCTATGCTGTAGCTTTTGTAAAAACATAGACTCACAAATTATTTTCCTCAAAATTTCAAAATTTGGTTAATCATTTTTTCAAAATGAAAAAAATGTTGCAAAAATTTGGAACATCTTGCCGTACAGAAATAGTTTAATATTTGAGAAAAAAAATGTGTCGTTACAAATGTAACACTATGCCATTGAGGGTTAAGATAAATAAACAAGAACTAAGGATCTCTATTCATTTTGATCTCAATATCTCTTATCCTTATTCTTTGTTTTTCTTTCAGATAAGAAATATGTCTCTCAGCCTTCTGAAAACACTAGAAGGGTTTTAAATGCTGCATGCAGTTGCTTATATTGCAATGAAAACTGTGAAAAAGGACTCAGCACACAGATGTCAAATGACGATTATAAATCAAAGAAGAAAAGATGTTTACGGTGTGGAGTATGCCTAAAGAGTGATTTATAGTTTCCTGCTTAGTCATTTGATGAATTTCTTCACTTGGTTGTATTGTTCTCCAGTCATAATTTTTGGAAATTACTTTTGCACAAAATTTCCAATAAAAGGAATGAAAGTCTTTAAAAGAAGTCTCTAATGGGGTAAACATCAAACAGGTCTGATTTTGTGACATGAAGTTTGCACAAAGTTTCCAATAAATGTAATGAAAGTCTATAATGCGGTTCATCTCAGCTAACAAGACTGGGAACCAACCTGCATCCTGCGCGTGACGCGGAGACAAATCAGGTTTCTCCGACGCGCGCGGGAGAGAGACTCTACCTGCGCGTGACGCGGAGACAAATCAGGTTTCTCCGACGAGCGCGGGAGAGAGACTCTACCTGCTCGTAATTCCGCGAATTTAGCCGGTTGGAGAGAGTGTCAGGCATGCCTGAGACCGTTCTCACAGGCACCCAAGAGAGGTCACGGAGCGACATCGCTGGCACAGGTTTAGCCGGCTTCCTCTCATGGCCCAGTAGAATCTCGGTCGAACCCGTGTAATCTCAATATTTTCCCAAGAAATGCACAGGAAAAATCCGTTCATTTATTTTCCTTTGCAGTTAATTTTTAATTTCTGACTTTTTTAAATTAGGAAGCGGCTAGTGTTGGATGTAAGAAGTCTCCAAGTTGGTGCATTAGCAGTTCATCTCTCAACACAGCATAATAACAAAAAACATTCATTGACACGTTTCATCTCTGCATCAGCTTTCTCGATACTTGAAGTATTAGCATGAATTGAACTGCGATCAAGTTTCTCATTTGGTAAAAACGCAGAAAACAAACTCAGATAGAGGGCTAGTTTCTGCCCGGTTACTCAATAACCACACGATAAAATCTGTCAGAATTCTCAAAAAACTTCTCACACTCATATGACATTTTTCCTTCGGTGTTTCAAGGCGTCTCAGATTTCTTCCTCCTCATGTAAAACATTTCTGTGATCATTTTCTGCTTCCTGTTGGGAAGTTGAGGGTGCAGTTGAGTCTCTCAAGTTGAGGGTCTCTCAGTTCTTCTGGTGTCTCGAGGAGTTCTCTGATGTAGTTTGTGTCTATCACTCTAGGTATTAGGGGTTTACAGGGTGGTATTGTGGGAATGGGGGCAGTGTTGTACCCGCAGGTGCTAAAATTACTTGATGGCTACTACAGCTTCTTTGCTTGTTTCCTCATTGGTTGGGAATTCTCATCATCGCTTGTATTGAATCTGGCAGGTAGAGTGATTGTCCGCTTCCGACGTCCTCCTGCCTACTTCTGAAGCCTGCGATTCTCCAGAGTGTTCCACGATGTATAACATCGTCATCTTGAGAGTCCTCTAAAGACGCAAAAGTGTCTCTCAGTTCTTCTGGTGTCTCAAAGAGTTCTCTGATGTAGTTTGTGTCTATCACTCTAGGTACTAGGGGTTTACAGGGTGGTATTGTGGGAATGGGGACAGTGTTGTACCCGCAGGTGCTAAAATTACTTGATGGCTACTACAGCTTCTTTGCTTGTTTCCTCATTGGTTGGGAATTCTCATCATCGCTTGTATCGAATCTGGCAGGTAGAGTGATCGTCCGCTTCCGACGTCCTCCTGCTTCTACTTCTGAAGCCTGCGATTCTCTAGAGTGTTCCACAAAGTATAACATCCTGGTGAATGCTTCTATGTAGCTTGCGGTTGTACATTCTGTACTTGCAGTTGCGAAGTAAGAGGGATTTCTACATTCAATTCAGAGATTTCTACTTCAACATCAACCTGCGCCTGTCTGTTTTCTTCTTCATTTCTCACATGGAGGTCATCATGCATGATGGACCAAAACAATTTACATGTAAATTGTTTTGGTCCTCTCCTCCTGAAAAGTATTTGGCATCGTCATCTTGAGAGTCCTCTAAAGATGCAAAAGCGTCTCTCAGTTCTTCTAGTGTCTCGAAGAGTTCTCTGATGTAGTTTGTGTCTATCACTCTAGGCATTAGGGGTCTACGGGGTGGTTGCGGGAATGAGGGCAGTGTTGTACTCGCAGGTGCTAAAATTACTTGATGGCTATTATCATTCTTCTATGGCGGCTTCTTTGCTTGTCTCCTCATTGGTTGGAAATTCTCATCATCGCTTGTATCGAATCTGGCAGGTAGAGTGATTGTCCGCTTCCGACGTCCTTCTGCTTCTACTTCTGAAGCCTGCGATTCTCCAGAGTGTTCCACGAAGTATAACATCTTGGTGAATGCTTCCTCGGAGGTTGCTGCAACAAAAACCGTATCATGAAAATGTTTGCATGAAATTGTAAGATTGTATCATAAAATGACCAGATGATTTTGGTGCCCCCTTGTAATTACACAAATTGTAAAAACGACTGAAAAATTAATCCAAGTGCAGTGCCTGTCACTGCTCCTAAAAAGGGTCAAAATCAAAATAGTATGTGGAAACGTTGGAATGAATTAATTTGGATTTTTGCTTTTGAGACCCCAAAATTTTCCCAGCAAAAAAAAAAAAAAACAGACAGAAAAGTGCAAGGGTTGAATTGATGCGAGGATGATAAAATATTTGAAAAATGGTACTTTGAAATCTTATACAAAGAAATTCATATTTGAAATGTGAACACAAAAACTTGTATTTTAACGAAAAAATAAAAACATGGCAGAAATATAGACAATAATAGAAAATGGCAAGAATCTTCTGTAGGTACAAATACACATTAGAAAGGTTACAGGTGTAACCAAAAAATGCATTCTTGCGTACCTACCCTAACTCAAATGAAATTTACATAAGAAATGTGAACACAAACAATTGTATTTTAACGAAAAAATAAAAACATGACAGAAATATATACAATAATGGAAAATGGCAAGAATCTTGTGTAGGTACAAATACACATTAGAAAGGTTACAGGTTAACGAAAAATTAAAGACCAAAAAATGGTTAATAACCAAAAAATGCGTACTCTTGCGTACCTACCCTAACTCAGATGAAATTTACATAAGAAATGTGTGTATGAAATATAGAATTCACGTATTAACTTCATCTTCAGGGGTTTCTTCATCTTGAGGAGTTTCTTCATCTTCCACTTGTGTTGTCTTGGGTTTGACATTTTCACGCCTCTGCAAATATTTCGTCATGTCTTTGACTTTAGTTGGATAAAAACAGTAGTTGGGCCTCTCTTTGGAAATCCAATTTGACCTGATTATAACCAATCCATCAGCGTGTTCTTCTAGCGTAACAATATAGCGAAAGTAAACAGAACAGAGGCCATTCTTTCTGCCTGTGAAAAGAGGTAAGAAGGCGTTTGATTAGTGATCGAAGTACACATAGGTAAATAGTACATTCAAGATGAAGAGAAAACGTCTGTTTTCTTCAAATACAAAGTCTAAGAAATATACTTTTATAAGCCTGTCAAGTAATGCGATGCTCTTCCAAACATATAATTTAATACAAAATTTGTTAATCATCTTACCTTTGAAGTGAGGTAAGATTTGCAAACTACAACCGCTATGATAGTATATCGGTGCTAATCAGAGTATAGAAGAGGCAGGCAGTGGAAGCTTATGGCGAAGGCCTTTGTGATTTGAAATATTCAATAATTATCCAATGTTCCATCTTTTCCTGAAGTATCAAGCCCAAATTAAATTTTGTAGTGACACAACCCAGTTAGCAAGACTGGAAACCAACCCGCATCCTGCGCGTGTCGCGGAGAAAAATCAGGTATCTCCGACGCGCGGGAGAGAGACTCTACCTGCTCGTAGTTCCGCGAATTTAGCCGGTTGGAGAGAGTTTCCAGCACGCCTCCCGAGACCGCTCCCACGGGCAACCAAGAGAGGCCGCGGAGAGACATCGCTGGCGCGGGTTTAGTCGGGTTCCTCTCAGGGCCCAGTGGAATCTCGGTCGGGCCCGTGCAATCTTAATGTTTTCCCAAGAAATGCACGGCAAAAATCCGTTCATTTACTTTTCTTTGTAGTTAATTGTTAATTTCGGACCTTTTTAAATTAGGAAGCAGCTAGTGTTGGATGTAAGAGGTCTCCAAGTTAGTGCGGGTATTTACATTATTTTTTTTCCAGGCCTCTTCCATGCCACTACACTCCTTCTCCCTTATTTAATAAAGATTTTTGAGAAAAGGAAAGAACGAATTTTTCTCGAGCATTCCTTGTGAGGAAACCATGATTATTAAAAAAGATGTTGTCTTCTATGCAAGTAGCCGCTTTGAAAACTTGCTCATCCCTAAAGTGTCTACTTACTCAATTTTGTGCTCGCTTAACATTAAGTTCAAAATAGTATTTTCCAAACTGCAAATGCTCAAGTCCAATTTTACCATATAACAGGAAAGAAATTTTATATTTGGAAAAAAAGAAAAAAGAACTTCAAAATGCTTCACAGAGAGTAACGACAGACTTTTTTTTTTTTTTTTTAAAAAAAAAAAAATAAAAATTGTACTGAAGATTGATTGATTAAAACGCTTGCAATTTGAAAAATACTATTTTGGACTTAAAGTCAAGCAGCCATATAAATAAAAACCAGACCATCAGGGGTCATCAACTTTCCAAAATGGCTCATTGATGTAGCTAATGATAGTATCTAATTATATTTAAATTCATTGCATGCAATGGAAAAAAAAGTACTGTTTTGGATTTTGAGTCCAGCAGTCATGCAAGCAAAAAAGTAGACAATCAGGGAGCATCAATTTATCAAAGCGGCTAATTGCTGTGCTACATTTCTGTCCGATTTCGACACCATACGATTATCTTTGGAACTTATTTTGATAAAATTTACAGAAAAAAGGGGAAAGTTATTTAAATGTAAAACCTCTTCCACACATTTAAACAATCAAACCCATAACACACTATGTTTTCTAAGCTGTTTCTTGACTTCCAGCATTTCAAGTTATTGTGAAAGTTATATCGTATGGGGGCAAAATAACGTATGATCTGAAAATCTAGAGAGAGATGAACAATTTATACAGTGCTGAAAGAGCTTACTTTCAAGTAGTGAGACATGTAGTTGGAAAAAAACTATGATTGAGTGCACATACTTTTAGGAATTTTATTTAATAAAAATATAAGATTATTTGCAAGTAAATACTTTGCCACTATACACACACCTACAACTATAAAAAGACTACAAAAAAAGAAGAAGAAAAAATTGACTACAGCACTTATTGACAGGAAAAATATATATACACAAATACACACTTATAAAATACGATTTGAAACTGAATGACAATTTTACATAATCTGGCACTCTTTGAGGTCCTCGAGGGACTTTCTTCCCTTCAGCAAGTAGCCTTTTGCTCGCATTTCTCAGCCAGTTTTGTACTACTTCCTTGAATGCACTAGCTGTATAATCATAAAATTGTGGGTTTGCTCGTACAACATCTGTAACAAACAAAGGAAGATATAAGTAGGAGGGCATTAGACAGTACACAATATTTGCACTTCAATACAGTTATGTTATTTTTAAGATTGGCACTTTCTGACACATCAGTAACTACTATCATCTAGTAACTATACTTACACAAAAAATTCCAATCATTACACATTCTCAATTAATTATTCAGCACTTAAAATCATGGACTGACCAGTTTGATCAGCTGTCATGTTCCACACCTACATGAAAAGAGCCTTTGTTCCTTCATTTTATTGATCCTAACAAAAACATACAAAGCTTCATTCGATGCACTTTATACTTTAAGTTTTCAAATGCAAGAGCTCATGCTCGAATGAAACCTTTCACTTCACACTCAACTGCTCGCCCCTCCCTCCTTTTCCTGCTAAGCAGATTATGAGGAAACATCTCTCAAATGAGGTCTATTCCAAGGAAAGGAAAAATTAAAGTATGACTTACGCAGGGCCATGTCATGTATCAGCAGAGTTTGAAACGCCTTGTTGTTCGATCCCTCCCCTTGGTAGCTATATTCCTTGGCTGCTCAATTACTCAAGAGGGTTCTCAGTACTTCTCTGATGATATCTCCGGGCTTTGCCCCTCCCAGCTGCAACAGACCCTGGAACTAATGAAACAAACCAAACAATGATAAATTATTTTGATGTTATAATTTAGAGTGTAGCAAATTCAAGTTAACATCATGTTCTTGACTCAAATATACATCTTTTTCAGGAAAAGAAAGTGTCAAAAACTCATCTTTTAGACAATTCACGTTAATAATTTTCCTTACTTAGCAGTTTATTTCTCAACACAGCATCATAACAAAAAACAAAAACATAACAAAAAACATTCATTGACACGTTTCATCTCTGCATCATCATACTTAATACTTGAAGTATTAGCATGAACTGAGCTGCGATCAAGGTTCTCATGTGGTAAAAACACAGAAAACAAACTCAAAGAGAGGGCTGGTTTCTACCCGATTACTCAATAACCAAACAATAAAATCGGTTAGAATTTTCAAAACACTTTTCACACTCGTATGACATCTTTCCTTCGGTGTTTCAAGGCCTCTCAGATTTCTTCCTCCTCATGTAAAACAAAAGTACAATACGAGTGTGTCATTAGGAGAGCAAATAGAAGATCAGATACTTAAAAGAAGAGAATCAATACTCACAAACTTCTTCCTGGTGTCTGCGTTTTCATTCAAGAAATTCTCAAGAGCCTCAACCTCCACAGAGGACTTGCACGGGAGGCCTGCAGGGTATAAATTAGCGAGACTAATTATCGGAGCTTTGTTGGCGCTTTGCCGATCAGCCCGCCTGATTTTGCTGTCGCTTTGAGGTACGCAACATCCTTCTCAAGATTGCTTAATCTGTTTCCGAAGGCATGAAATCCGGATTTTATCTCTCCTGAAACAAATTCAATATGTATCAATTATAATAGTGCCAAAAATTAGAAAAATCAACTACATTTTTCAAATTCTTACAACCCTTGGCCGACTTTGAACACAAACTACACTTTCCAAATGTTCAGATTCCTAACATACAATACTATAGTAGTTCCGAAGTTAAAAGACCACAATCACTTAAGTTGTTTGTAAAAATATTGCTGACATGGAAAGTAGTTTTCCATAATCAAAGAAGTTTACTGCTCCATTCTTGAAATTTCTAACTAATATAAAAAAAAATTGATTAAAATGAGAGGAAACCTATATTTTTTTCAATCCTCTTTGCTCCGTAATTGTTCTATGGTCTCATTGAATCTATCTGCATTGTGCCTGATTTTCCTTCTTTTTCTTTAACCATTTTATAATTTCAAGATTTTTTGATTTGTTACTATAATTTGTTCCCTGCCTCAATATGGAAAATGTTCTGACAAATACATATCATCAACGCACATCAATGGTTCTTTTTCTTTTAACTTGAGCTGTCAGCCATCAGGAAATGAGTCTCCCAACAGGACCTTAAATGGATCTTTACCTACTCAGTGCATCTTCATACATGATACATTTTCTTTGTGTATTATTAAAAACTAAAAAAAATTGTAATTGATTCAGGCAAATAAGATGGGGGAAATAACAGCTCAGGACGGTTGACTCAACATCTCTTGGAGCAAAAAACTCCCAATTAAAATCCAAAATTAGCTCTTTGAGAGCATTCTTAAGTTAAAGATAAAAAAATTGCATCTTAGAGGGAAGCAGAACTAGAGTTTTCTTTACCACTGTGCCATCTTTAGAAATGACTAGCGACCCGTACGTGCTTCGCACGTATGAAACATACAATCAGAGAAAACAGAATTCATCTCACAATAATCAATAATCAGTAGGACATGAATCGTTGCGATGTATTATACGACATTATAATGCGGCATTACTATTATAATGCATTATAATGGATTATAGGCATTATAAATCATTATTACCACGTGGGAATGAAATGTTGCAGAATGAATTGAAAAGCATGTTGGCAAAATTTATTACAAAAATAGTATAACATGTAGGTACATAACATAAAGTTAATACAAATTAAATGATTAGAGCGTGTATATTTTGTTACATTATAGGTATATAATCATTTTTGTCATTGTTGGAAATTTTGATAGTTTGAAAGAGCTTGATGCAAAAACGGCTTTTTTCGCCCCCCCCCCTCTGGAAGTTCTTCAGACTTTGTCTATTGATTACTCATACTTGAGCGCTTCTTTTCCCAAATTTTCAGACCCCCAAAAAAGATAGTTTGAAATTTGATAGTTGATAGTTTGATAGTTTGATAAATGAAAATGTTGGCACTTTATTTAGTTAAGGTGATTCGTAGAAATAGTTACTCCAAAAAATCATGTTAAAGCAGAGAAGTACGGCAATGACGTAAGGACGTTTTCATTGCCATACTGCAAGGAAAAATTTCCGTTCGCAATCCGAGCAATTCCAAAAGGAAAAAAACAAACATATATATAAAAAAAGAATGATCACATAGAAACATTCACATACAAATCCATCCCTACCGAATATGTGAATGGCTTCGACATCATCTTGAGATACTATTCGGAAATCTTCAAAAGACGAATCAGCTTCATACAAAACAAATATCAAAAAACGAATTTAGAAAATTGGTGCCCTCCGGTCTGAAATCACTTTATAGACCATTGAAAAGCCCCATGCAAAGTTTCAACTTTAAAATCGAATTTTTAGGGGTCCCGCCCGCATTGGCCCTAAACATTAACGTGAATATTCCATGAGAATTTGCCAGAAATTGTTCAACAATGATTTTCTTGGCGGGGTGTGACAATATTATTGATTTTCTTTTTTAAAATAAGGGCGTTGAAGTTGGTTTGAGTTAAAAAGATTCCTACTTGGCACGAAAGGCTAGGGTTGACAGAAAATCCTTCGGCGCGTGGGGAGTGCGGCGAGTCTGCAGAAAGGAAACCTCGATGTTCCCGACTGAGCACCAAACAGTTGGCGATGGAAATTCGCAGGATGGAAATTTCATATGAATAACGTAAAAATAAAATGACAAAAAAAACATATGTGAGCAGTTGCGGAATTTCCCGTTTCCACACGATGTACACGTACAGAACTCTCCGACCGCTGAGAAAGATCCGGCAACACCGCAACACTCGAACAATCGGAACGGTAGCCGTAGAAACGCTCGTTCCGTATACAACAAAAGGGCGACCGAGCTCCGGTCGTCATTTCAGAGTAGACCATCAGAGTAGCCGCGACGCCTACGCGGAGGGACTCGCGGCGCCCCCCCCCCCCCCCCCCCCCCCCCCCCCCCCCCCCCNCGATCGACCGACGAGGAGGGCGCAGAAACGAATTTCCCAGAAACGTTCGAAGGGCACCAGCGCCTCCCCGGATCGCCGGATCACGATACCCGCCCTTATCGGACGTCGGCACCGTTGGACCCGTCCGCCGCCGGAACCACGAGCCCGGGGGACGAACGGGGAGGTACGAAGTGACCGTTACAAGGAATCGACCGACGAAACGGTCCGAGGGACACCGCGCCCACCCCGGGAGTTCGGGGTCGAAAATTCAGCGGGGACGGGACGCCGCCCGGCCGGGGGCCCGCGCTGACCGAAGCCCCAGGCCGCGGGCCGAACGTGACGGGAGCGGTGGCGGTTTTTCCGAAACGGTCGCGGGGCTCCAGCGCCCCTCCCGGGTCGCCGGATCCGAAATCCGACCTTATCGGACGTCGGCACAGTAGGACCCGTCCGCAGACGGAACCCCGAGCCCGGGGGACGAACGGGGAGGTACGAAGTGACCGTTACAAGGAATCGGCCGACGGAACGGTCCGAGGGGCACCGCGCCCCCCCGATTCGCATAAAAACGAAACGGCCGGAGGGACAAGGAGCCGATAGCCGGGACGCGACCGCACGTGGAAGCGCGACCGGAAAGACGCGCGCCAGGCCGAGGGACGGGCGAAAAACGGAAGCACCCCCGGGGCCCGTAGCAACCCTCCTGGGGGTGGGAACGGGAAAACCCAAGGGGAGAACGGAGACCCGGCCGCGGGGGGTCCGCCGAACGAACATCAAGGGCGCGGGACGCGCTGGGACGGCGTGGCGGGGACCGATGTTCTGGGGGTCGCTGGGTAAATCGTATAACTTTATATAAGAGATTAATTTTTAAATTTATTTTCAACCCAATGTTCTTGAGAGTATTGTAAGGTGTCCGGCATAAAAAACTGAATGCTCCCAAATCGGTTTCGTTGTAGCACTAATAAATTTCATCTTCCACTACAAGGCACACTTTGCCTGATGACTGCACCAAAAATCAAAGAATACATGAATAGTTTTTGCATGCATTAAGATGCATTAATGAGCCCTGTGAAACAGAATGCTGTAGGATTATTCAACTTTCCTTCAGGAAGGGACTCCATTGGTCAAAATTAGAACTGATTTTTTTACGTGTGCACAGGTCATGAAGTTAAGCTGCTCAGAGTTAAGAACCCTACTGTTTCCAAAATCAATAATTTATTTTTCAACAATCCTGACCACTGTCATGTTGAAGTCACCGAAATATGATCAGACTTACTTAGTTTGTACACGTCATCAGAGCCACTACACCATTGTTTAATGGAAACCTGTCCATTGGCATTTCACCGTAACTTAGGGATGTTCAAACGAATTCTTGCCGGAACACTATCGATATCGTCTCTTAGGTATTGAAACTGGCGGCAGTACCGACAGTGGCGATGATATCGACAACAGCCGGCCTTATCGGATTTTTGAGAGCTCGTACTCAATGCACTGTTGCCCCGTGAGTCGGTTTATCAAATTGCCTGGCGCGGCGGCCCGTGAAATAGATGTACAAATGGCAACAGCTTATTTTCGTCAGCTCCGAAAACTATGATCGCTATCAGCAAGAGCGCTCTTATCGTAACTTTTTCTTAACGGAACTGTTTCGGTAGCTTACCGACAACCGATAGAACAGCTGTAACTTCGTTGAGTTTCCTAATCTGCGTGAATGTAAAAATCCGCTGAAAATTCCAAGCCATCACAATGTGATTGCTTTACTCATCTCGGGAAAAAATTAATGTTAGAGCAAAACTTTTGAAATCTGCTTAGGCCCTGCAATCGAGCATCAATAAAATGATGACCAAAGTACAAAACCACACATCTCCTTTTCTGTGTTTCAAATTTCTGCTTCTCTTATTTTTCCAACTTTGTTGCTTGAAATTCACACACACAAGAAATATTCTGCCAATACGTAGTAAAGAAGAATCAAGTAAATTATCAAGAAATTACGTTGACTATATTTCCAAAGAAACAGTAAAATATGGCAGGAAGTCTGCAACGTCGCAAATGAAGATGGTGGTTTCGCACTTCGGCCGTCGAAAAGTGGATCTTTAGTTTCACCGCGTTGCTCAAGATTTTCTTCGTGCTCATTTTACGCTCCACGAATTGCGCGCTCTTTTTTTAAACGCAGGTAGGAAAATTTAAATCTGGGACGAAATTTCCTCGTCTGTAGGGAACCAATCGGATTAAACAAAGATCACCTGATCCCGCTTCAGAATTTCAACAGCGCCGTCAGGTGGGAAATTTTTTCACATTTTGAAACCTGAATTACAAACGGAACAACTTACTTTAATTTTTTTTTTTTAGCCCGAAAATAGTTAATTTAATTAATTTTTAGCTCCACTTAAACCTCTCATTAAATTTCTTCTATTCCCCACAAAGAAGGACCAATTTCATACCTCAAGTTTATTATTCAACTGCTTTTTGGTTCCCAGTGTGCGCATCACTGATAGCCTGCGTTTGACCATCGACTTTCTGAAAGGCCTATTTATTGAAGAAAGCCGATCCTTCCGACTGCCGAGCACCGAGTGTAGTGAAGTTTTTTTTTTTTTTTTCTCAGCCTAACCATTTATTTATTATTGTTTTTCTAGGCTTAAAAACCATGTCTACTTTCAATCAGAATAACGATACTCAATTAACCAATCTGATCGTCAACTATCTGCCGCAAAACATGACGGACAAGGAACTCTTCAGCATGTTCGTAACCATAGGACCTGTAGAAAGTTGCCGGGTTATGAAAGATAACAAAGTGAGTATTTTCCTTAAAACCTACCCTATCATGTCCTCCTCACATCATGATTTTTCCCCCGGTACATGAAAGTTGTAATGAAAGCTCTGACTTAGAATATTACTATCTGTTATCAGGAGGTTACCCTGTGGTGGGGCTAGTCGACATTGGTCTTGGTTCATTCTTCATCATTTCTTTAAAATATATGTTTTTTGGGGTGTCGTTTAAGTATCATAACTTTAAGTACTTACATGTCAGTATTTACTTTCATTTACATTCATCCCTCAGTCCTCGGTTACAGTCAGTCCATTATCAGAACAGGAGCCTGTAATCAAACTTTTTGGTTATCAATTATCCAGCAGTATGTCCCTACTTCACACATGACATTCTGACTATTCCTGAATTTGTTAATGACTTGTTTGTTCTTTCACAATATGAAGGATCTTTAAGCAATTGTGGCAAACAAAGGGCGAGGACTTTGATATTTTTTGACATGCCTGGAAGCACTACCGTTGACATGTTGTGGTAAAGCTGTATGCCAATTGGTTAGAGTTAAGGATGAAAACAAGTGTTGCTGAGTCTGTCTAACTTCTTCTTAACTTACTTGTTGTCACTCTATGCCCATTTCGACTACCGACTATGCGCATGCTCAAGTTTGACAATCCCTAGGAGCTTTCTGCTGACCCAGCAGTGGGCGTGCATAAAAGCTTGATGGTCATCAAGGGGTCACAGTCACACAGTCATTGTGCCTGCCCAAGACATGCCAATACCTGGTAGATTGTGTGCAATGATGCCTCTTAACAAACTGAAAGCATGGAGGAAACAAAATTTTCACAGTGTATCTCTTTCGTAGCTATCGTGAATTTTATCATTTTCAATTTTGTGCTTCACAAATGTAAACTGTCGCATTGCAAACTTCAATTTGCTTGAAGTGCAAAGTTCAAATTTTCTAGCAAGTCATATGAAAGATCAAGTAGCGTGAAATTCTAAGGCGTCGATTATGATTACTATGTTAAATTTCTAAGAAAACTCCATGGCAAAAATTATCCATACTTTCAGTGAACCTTGATTCTGCCGTCACCTGCCCTTCATTGCAAAGAGAACCTCTCGGTTGGTAGATTCTCTCTTTCATAACAATATTTCGTCAGTTTTCCATGTCTTTTCCTGACTTTGACATTGTTTTTTTTCTTTTTCCAGACTGGTTATAGTTTCGGATTTGGATTTGTAAATTATTCTCGGAAAGAAGATGCTGCTAGAGCCATCAGCTCTTTAAATGGTTTGCAAGTCCAGAATAAACGCCTGAAAGTCTCTTACGCTCGGCCCTCAGGAGAAGAGATTAAAGAAACTAATCTTTATGTAACTAACCTCCCTAGGTAAGAATTTTAACTTTTTTATTACTTAGACATCAGCCTATTCAAGGCACCCTCTTTCAAGGGGGTTGTTGGATGGATGTGGGATTTGAGAATAAAGTGTTCGCAGTCCTTAAACTTCTTGCGACCAAAGTGATGGTAACGTTCAAAAACAAAAAATCCAGTCCTAGAGCCCAAAAAAGCTTGCCAAAGTTTCATCAAATTCAAGTTGGAAACAAACGATTTTCATTGGTTGCTATATAGTTGGTCTTTGCGTCACACTCCATGGGAGTCTCTGCTTGTGGCTATTACCCATATCTTAACCACATGTTTATCCAGTGGAGGTTAGGTCAAGTTAAGCTCATCTTGAGCTCTGATAGGCCATGATGATGAGCACGGACGCCAGAAAAATTCGAGCAGAGCTGGCTGCTGCGCACCGCTCTCCGCTCACTGCTAAGCGGCGCCTTTGCCCCGTGAGGAAAACGGGAAAGGAGCAGTCTGTAACTCATTTTTCGACCTAAGAATCGTTGTAAAGAGCCCAAATCTAAGTCTGGAAATTATTCACCTTATCATCAGGCATCCATCAAGGTAATAAGAGTGGATCTAACCGGACAATTCAATTTTTCCCAATTTTTTAGGAAACTCATCGTAGCAAGCAGTTTAGATAGTAAATACCCAAGGCCGTGTGGTTTGACATCATAGTCTTGTGTTCTGGAGGCGTGAGAAGGAAAAACGTTTCATATTGTTTCTGAACTTTTGGGGCTTTTTCTCCATGTTCCAATCATCAAAAAAATTTTTAAACAATACCTCAAAAATAGGGTAGTTGCATGAAATTTGTTTAATTCACTTTTTAACACTTTGAGGTCTAAGTAAGCACTGAGTATGAAGGTATTTTTTTAAAAACATTTCTGGTTTGAGGAACCTTTGAGACAAAGCTCTCTAAAGTCATAAATATTTGAAATGAGTTCTTTCCCTTGCCTCGGAATCACGCCCACCGTGACGTGGTGGACGTATACACGCTGGTTCGCCCCATGTTAAATACTTGTAAATCGAGACCATTAAAAATTTGTGTAAAATCAAGTTTTTTGTGTAGACTCGGTTTCTTGGCCTCAATGAAAAATTAAAGTTACGAAAAATATTTTTAAAGCTGTTTTGAAGAGGTTCCATCTAGATTTCTTGGAGATAAAGGGAGTCAAAATGTAGCTTTTTGTGTAACTTCTGCCGCTGCAGGTAGCCGTGCAGTCCGTGGGATTCGGCTTTTGTGCTTGGATTTTAATGTATGTAAAAGATATTCAAATGCGTTTGCTTTTTATGAAGAAAACTCTCTAGGCGTTTTATTTCATGTGCACTAAGTCCTCCAGAGCAATGTCTTGTTTTATAAATGAAACTATTAAGCACGTTCTTAGACTGACACCAAGCTCTCTCATGTAAAGGGCTCCTCTATCTGAAAGCCAAGAAATTTTTGGATTCCTGTCTGGGCTATGTAATTATTAGAAAATGCTACGCATGAATCCTGGATATTAGAGCTTGTTAACCTTTATTCCATACTCTTATGGTAGCATCTATACCTGTTTATGTAAGTTTGGAAATATGTCTTGACCATCTCTTTTCACATCCTCTGCTAATTACTTTTTTTGTCTCCTTGTTTCATTAGAACTATTACTGAAGAACAGTTAGAATTTATGTTTTCAAAGTTTGGAAGGATCGTGCAAAAAAATTTATTAAAAGACAAAGTCACAGGAATGCCTAGAGGAGTCGCTTTTGTCAGGTGAGTCTTTTGATACTCTTTGCTCAACCTAGCTAGATTTCATGGCAACATTTTTGTAACTGACATGTCTTTTTTTTTTACTTCAATTGACAGCATTAACTCGCATTTGTTCAGCCCTATGGAGCAAAAATAAGTTTAAAAATACTTGAGTCTCCTCAGCCTAAGTAAATGGCACTCTGTAATAAAGATTTACAGCTTCTCCAAGTATAGCCTCTTTCAATAATATGCTTCCAAGGTCTGGAAACCCTGGAAAGTCAGGGAAACTAGTGCCCTGGTAAACTCAAGGAATTTTTGTAAATAGCGTCTCAGATTAGCAACTTCAGCCGGTGCCATCTGAGAGAGCGGAAGCAGCTTTTGGTTGTCTTTTTCTAATGGTTGAATTGCTAGAAGTAAGTACTTTGTCCAAAGTTAAGCAAAAAACAGTTCTAGTACAAGAAAGAATATCTAAGTAGTAGTTTTTATTCAAAGTCGGGGAATTTGGAAATTTGGAAGTAGGGGAAAAGCGAAGTATAAAAATGAAGCCTGTATTACAACAGATATTTTTTCTAGAGCCCTTCTGCTTCTAGTGTACTTTCTGATCAATGATTTTGCATTTCAAGGATATTTCATTCCCTACAGTTGATTTAGATTTAGTTTTGCAGTCGGTTAAAGAAATCTTGATTTGTTTTGAAGTTTACAACACGTCTTATAATTATTTCATTTTAGCAAGGAATGTTCCCAAAAATTTACTTAATTTGGTCAATCTTTTCTAGATTTGATCGTCGTGAAGAAGCTTTGGAAGCAATCGAAAGAATGAACGGTACAGTTCCTGAAGGATCTCAAGATCCTATCACTGTCAAAATAGCAGAAGAACATGGTAAACAAAAGGCAGCATACTACGCTGGGTTTCACGCAGGTTATAACCAGAGTCGAGGTAAGTTCTCAAAAATTTTTCCTTCCCTTATCAACCTTTCTCTGGAAGTTCAGAATTTTGGAAGTAAGGCATTTGCAACTCTTGTGAAAACTTCAATTTGAAATCAATGGACCTCTCGTTAGGGAAATCAGATTTGTCTGAAAATGAAAGCCAAAGTAATTAATCATGAGCGGCCATCAGAGAAAATTAATAAATGCAGAAAAGTCACAGGGGTTTGGTAATGTTTTCAATACAGTTAAATTTTTGATTCCTCCTGCCGTACTTTTTTTAAGCACAAAGAATTTCTTCTCACAAGCGTACCTGCTGAGCAAGTACATATTATGAGTGTTCTTGCCTCCATGTTGAATTATTTTCTCAATTTTGTACCATCATGGATAATATCTTGTAGCCTTTTCGTAAGTCTAATTTTGCTTCACTGTAAGAAATTTCAAATACTTTTGAAGTCGCAAAGTTCACTGTAATCACTACTAGGTTGTTGCGCCAGAGTATACTCCGAAAGATTAGTGTGGTGCCAGTAAATTTGGTACTACTCAGGCTATTACTTAGATAACACCCACATTTCTGTTGGCACACTGTTTTTGGACATGGATTTGCTTCCTCCATGAAAATAAAATGGGAAAATATTAAGATCACAAATTGATGTTCGTTTTGAAGTTTCATTTTGTTGTGACAGCTTATTTCCTAAAATTATACTCAAATTTTAAAAATAAATCCACATCAATTTTCGGTGAGTTTTTTGAGACCCTCAGTCGCTTACTTACACCAAAACTCAACAAGTTTTAAGTAAGTAGTTTGTGGAATCCAATAGAATGTTACTTGTTCATTTCTTCTGATCAAGACTACTTGCAAGTTCTTTTTTCCTGTAGCGAAGTGTTTACTTTCATAATGCTGAAAATTAGGTCTCTTTTATTCATTTTTTATATATTTCCTGATGTTCATCGTCCCTAGAATACAGGAAGAGTGCACATGACATGATATGTTGAAACTTAAGGCCCTGTCCACATGAGTGCAGTTCGAGGAACTTATTCGACGAACAGCTCAGTTTCCCAAAACTTGTTCCTTAAAACGAGGGATGCTGTCCACACGAGTTCGCCCAAACTGGAACTGGAACTTCAACAAAACTATACAATTATTGCAAAATAATAGATTACTGCGGCCGTGAGAGAAACAAAAACAAATGGCAAGACATAAAGGACGTAAAAAACAAACAAATTCACAACAAAAGAAACATAGAAGCGGGGAGCACAGAGGAAGTTCTGGGGTTTTGAGGAATAAGTTTTAGCTCAGCTGAAACTTGTTCCGGGAACAAGTTCTGCGAACCACGCTCATGTGGACAAGGCCTAAAACGGAAATATTTTGACATTCCTTAACTGTAAGGTGCTTATTAGGGCTTCTCTTCAATTTCCCTCCTGCAACTGCTGATCCTTCTATTACTTAATTCATTGAAAGTTACCAACCTTCTTACCCATCTTTTTTTATTATTCTTATTATTTATTTAATGAGCCCCATTATGCGTGTCGAATTTTACTCAATTTCTTTTCAGCCTTAAAGTTTCATTATGCTTTTTTTAGCGAAACTTTTATTTATGTTTTTTATTTTTTACCTGTGGTTCTTTGTCCATGTTTCTCTTGTTTTATTTGTGAGTGTTCATTATGTGTCCCATAGGTTGATGACTGATCAGGGTATTTTTATCTTTTATCCTCTCTTTTCCCTCTCTTTCCAGAAACACCCCCTCCCTTTATTTTTATTATTTTATTCATGCTAAAAAATGTTTTTCTTGTTAATTACTTACTTTTGTCCATGAAATGGTATTATGATCTTAGTTGATAGATACAAATTAAAAGACCAGTATCCTGAAGATCTTTGTGGGCCAATGAATGTACATATGAAAAAAAACGGGGGGAAAACGGGAAACACGGCTAAATATACAACACTAAAAATGCGAGATGTTTCGACTCAAATCGTAGTAATTGTCAGTCGGAAAATAATTTAAAAAATAACAAAGAGAAAACCTGAGACCTGCATGTTTGTGGCCAAGATTGGAGGGGGGAAAAAACCAAATAACCATAATATACGCAAGGAAAGTACAAGGAAAACAGCCTAACAAAGTGACAAATTCTTGTTAAGTCAGGGAATTTTGCTGCAGAACTTTGAATTATTTTCCTCCAGCTAAGACATTACATTTTTTTCTTGCTTTAAATCTTCATGAAAATAATTCTTTTAAGAAATCATGCCCCCCAAAAAAACAATGAGAAGTCAGGGAATCGTGTGTTTAAAACCCTTGTAGACAGGGTATTTTGTAATCCAAGATATCTCGTCACCCTGCCAAATGCCTTTTGATGATCTTGTCCCTTATATATATCGATAACTACTGTCTTCAGTAAAAGCAATAGTTTTCCTCGATACTTTGAGTTCAAAGTTGAGAATGAAAGTGCATGGTTTTTGCCCATAAAACAATATTCTGACCTTGGAGTATGGTCTTTTATACCCGAAGACCTTTGTGAGCTAATGAATACAAGGAAAGTATATAAATATCACCCAGACAAGGTCACAAGTTTCTGATAAGTCCGGAAATTTTTCCCAACCGTGAATTGTCACCGCAAGCATCAAGTAAACCATATTACTCATTTTTTTTTTTTTTCTGATTTTTCAATTTTTTATTTGCCATCGTGCCTATCATAAATGGCTTTTTTGTAGTTATCTCAGTCTTTCTCTGCCTATCTCTTTCAACTCTGTATTGGAAGGTCAGTAAAAACATGATGAATTATTTTGGCCAATCCTAAATTCTTACCTCTATTCCTTCATTTCCTGAAACCTTTTGCAAATTCGATTCTTCTTGATTGGGGAAAAAAGCACTCAACACAGTTTCAGTGTTCATTGAGCAGAATCTGTTGGTTTATTAGAAAATTAAAGCGTTAGGTATGCAACTACATAATTTTTGCCCAGTTTTTATATGATGACAAAACTTTTAAATGAAAGTCATCGTAACCACAGTGAATGATTTTCATTAAAAGGTGTCAAGAACGTTCTAGAATATTTTACTCATGCAATCTTATGTCTCATTCTCTTTAGCTCAACAATTTGGAGGTATCTAGTGTCAAATTTTTTTTTATTTTTTCAGCATAAATGTATTCTAATGTTTTTTTAACAGGTTTATTTTCTGTGTAATATTTTATTTTTTATTTTTTTCTCACGCGTATGCTAGGTCCGACTAAGGCCGGAAGACGAAATGTTGCGTTCCCAACTCATCAAGCGTATCAACCATACTAGTTTTAGTCGTATGATTAAAATGTTACTGATGCAATTATCCTAAGGAAAAACTCCTTGACTATTTCTACTTCATTTGCAGTGAAATAGTGATCTTTTGCATGCTCTATCTGTTTTTTTAAACCTTTTACCCTGTATCTCTCAGTTCAAGGGGAAAAATTTTTTCATCGGCTGAAAAAGTTTTCTTTTCTTTTTTTTTATTACATATTTAGAAACTCCTAAAAAATCCTCCGCCCATCCATTTGGTGATAATCATTCTCTTCTATACAGGTGTGACGTTGGTATAAGTATAGTTGTGTGTATTAGACAATTTCTCTCTTTCTCTTAATTTCTTTTTTCTTTTGTCAGTCATAATTCTTCTTTTACACAATATTTTGTTCTCATCTCCTCTACTCCTCTTTACAGCATTTAATTGATTCTCACCTTCCTTCCTCCTCTCATTTTTTTTTAGCTACCTTAATATCCACCCCAACCTACTTTCTCTACAAATTTTTGTTTTTGATCCTTGCTTTCCTGTGTGATCATCTTTTTCAAAAAACTTCTGTGCCTTTTAGTTCTATATTTGATGAGAAAAAGGTTCAATAATTGGAGGGAACAGGTAACGTTCAACCTCCCGGGAGATTATTATTTTTTTGGTTTTTTTCCCTTGTTTGTTTCTTTTTTTCTAGGAAAATACTTATGTATTCAGTGTTATACCCTTTGATTTGCACCTTATCCTCAGTTTTTATTCATAATATTCAGGTTTTTGCATGATTATGATTTTGAAGAATATAAGTGGAGTAAATGTTATAGTCCAATGAATAATAACTCTGCCAAAGGCGATGTTTGTCCCAATATTGTGCAAAGACCCATGTTTTAAGTTTCCCTGGGCGCACAGTTTTTTCGAGTAGAAGTTATTTTGAGATTTCTCAAACTTCCTTTGCTCTGTGTTGAATTTGTTGGTTCTCCTATTATGTGCCACAAGAGCGTAGCTTTACAGAAATGGCCTTGTAAATCACAGCTCTTAATTCGTCAGGAAAAGGATACGCTCCTAAAGATTTCCAGCCATTAGATGATTAAGACACCCGTAAAAATCGAATCAATATGAGTTATCGTCTCAGTTTTTTATTTTTTTGCTCTCATCTATTTCTGTGCTGTCAACTGCATTGCATTTATAATCATCATTGTTTTAGAGAGAACATTAAAGTACCAAAGGAGCTATATCTACGAAGGAGGGTCCATGTACCGCCCCCTCATTATTTAGAACAAAATTGAAAAGTCTTCAAAAGACAGATGTTGTGCAAAGTTGAAGAGAGCCTGTCAAAACTCAATAGCTTACAATGTATCATTGATCTTTTTTTTATCGTACAAATAATTGTAGGTAAACTGATTGGATTTTTCTTCAGTTATTGTAGGGTTATTCAGCATTTGAAAATCTAAATCAATATCGCTGAAAAGGGTATGGGCACCACTAAAGTTGTAACGATTGTAATCAAAGCAGCTCCAAACTGTTCTGTCTACTATCCCTTTATTTCGCTTTTCTGTCACGACCAGTATTTTTTCAACTTACTCTGTAGTCACCATCATATTTAAAATTCACCTGAAAATTAGGTTTTACGCTTACAAATGAAGAGTGTTTGTCAAATGTGATGCTTAAAAAGATGACATAACCCTTATTTTAATTTTCCTATTTCCCGTGCAAGATTTCATGCTCTATGCAACCAACATTTCAAAAATCTATGTGGCTGAAATAG